AGGTGGGGTGTCTTGGGAAGGAGCAAAAGGGGAGAAGAGAACTTGGGAAGGGCAACGCGGGGTTCAGGCGGCCGCCATGTGCCGAGAGCGACTGGAGCGCCCCCGCCACCCCGGGGCTCACGACACAGACGACGGCACCTGGGCTCAGCCCCGCAGTCCCTGGAGCAGGTCGCCCGCATGGCCGTCAGCAAGCGAGTGGCTGGCAGGGAGGGGACAGACCGCTGGCGCGGCCCCGGGCGGGACCAGGCCCCGGCCACCCCGGCCTTTCTCTCCCTGACTGTCTCCCTGTCCCCGCTCTGCCAGAGCGAGTTCCTGCAGGACGCCAGCCCCAAGGACAGGACCTTCCTGCTGGAAATGGAGGAGCTGCGCAACATGTTCCTCCAGCGGCCCGGCTGCCCGCAGTTCTGCACCCGGGCCACCTCCATGTCCAGCTCCGGTGAGAGCCCCCCGGGGCCCAGACACGCCACCCTCCCTGCCGGGGCCGGGCCTTCCTGGTGGCCAGGGGCACGGGGCAGAGTGCGGGGCGTTCAGGGGGAGGGAGTGGGAGATTCGGGAGGGAAGCTTCTGGAAAGAGCCCATGAGGCTGAAGACGTGCTGAGGACCAAGCCTGTGGGCCGGGGCCCCGTCGCGCCCACCCCTGTGACCTGAGGCTCAGAGGCCGCTGAGTGCGTGGTGGGCACAGAGGGCCTCTGTGCAGCAGGCACCGCCCCGCCCTGCGGGTCCCGGGCCCCGGTGGCTCCCCTTCCCCACACCCTGTGGCGATGGTGGGTCTCAGCCAGGACCCCACCCGCCGTCCGGGCTCTAGGTGCCCCCTCAGGGCCTCAGAGAGCATGACTTGTGGGCAGGTCATGGGAAGGGCAGGGGCCCAGGTCCTGGGGGCGGGTGGGGGGTAGAGGGGGGGTGTGCTCACAGGGCCGGTCAATTAGGGCCCCAAAGGCTCAGAGGAAGCAGGCTCTGGCGGGAGGGGGCGGGTTTCGGCGGGACCTCGAGGGAAGCCGTTTCTGCAGAAGGCCACTTGGACCTGTCCTCCCGGGAGGGGAGGCGCCGGTTTGCAGACATTCCCTTGTGCCCGGCGTGCTGTGGGGGCCGCGCTGTGTGGGCAGCAGCTGCCATCGCGTTTGAATTGATCCCCAGGGTTCAGCCCCTGCGGCCACAGAGACAAGTCTTTCTTCTCAGCTGAGGTTTATAGAGAAATGGCAGAGAGCCCGGCCGGCGGGGCTCAGGGGCTGAGCATCGACCTATGAACCAGGAGACCAGGAGGTCACGGTTCCATTCCCGGTCAGGGCACATGCCTGGGTTGTGGGCTCCATCCTCAGTGTAGGGCGTGCAGGAGGCAGCCAATCCGTGATTCCTCTCATCATTGATGTTTCTCTCTCTCTCCCTCTCTCTCCCTCTCCCTTTCTCTCTGTAATTAACTTAAAAAGGATGAAAAGAAAGAGAGAGAGAGAGAGAAGTGGCATAAGGCCATGGCCGGTGTGGCTCAGTGGATAGAGCATCGGTCTGCAGACCAAAGGTTCCTGGGTTTGATTCCCATCAAGGGCACATACCTCCGTTGCAGGCTTCTCCATGGCCCAGACCCTGGTGCAGGAGGCAATCCATCGATGTGTTTCTCTCACATTGATATTTCTCTCTGTCTTTCCCTCTCTCTTCCACGCTCTCTAAAATGAATGGAAAAATACCCTCGGATGAGGATTAACAAGAAAAGAAAGGGCATAAAAGGCCTGCCCCACCCAGGGCCTGGGGAAGCCGTCAGCGCGCTCTCACCCTGCAGGGATGACCTCCACCACGACCTTGCCCGTGGAGTGCTGCCTGGGCTCCAAGGCCTGGAAGCCAACCAAGGACTCAGTCTCCAGCCAGCAGGACTTGGACATGAAGGTGGACGGTGAGGGCAGCGCCTCCTGGGCACAGGGGTCCTCCCCTTGGGCCCCCAGCCCCAGGGCCTCTGCCTGCACCTGCTGGGCCCCTGCTCCCCAGCACCACCTGCTCCCGCTCCAGGGAACGCCCTTCCCACCTGCCACCACCTGCCCGGCCGTCCCCTGCCCCCTGCGTAGGGGCCCAGGAGTCTGCAGGCTGCTCTGTGCCTCCCCCCACTTCCTCAGTGACACACGGCTGGGGCGGGGTGTGGGGTTGGGACGGGGACAGCAGCCCGGGCCCTGGAGGCCTGGGGAGCCCAGCTGGGCCAGGGAGGGTTTCTCAGGGGTCTCGAAAGGGCGGCACCTCCTGGGAAGAGCCCAACGCCCGCCTCCCCGCAGGGCCCCTGCTGCCCGTTAGCCAGAGCGCCGGGGAGCTCGAGTACCTTCGGAAGAAGAGCGGGTCCCAGCAGCTGAGCCCGGCCGCCAGCAGCCCGGCGCTGGACCAGAGCCACCTGAGGAAGCGGGTGCCCTGGTACATCTCGGTCATCCACGAGAAGGTACCGCCGCGAGCAGCTGGCCTGGGTGCCGCCCAGCTCCGCGCCCCTGTCACCAGTGGCTCCGCAGGACAGCTCCGCTCCTGCCGGAGGCTGCTCCGCCCTCGCCCCAGGCTCCCTTCTAGAATCTGTCAGCTGCGCGCGCAGGTCCCCAGACGTGGTCCCGCCGACCCCAGTTCCCTCCTTCGGCATCTGGGACTCAGAGGCTCCCCGCATGGGCTGGCCCCTGCGCATCCGAAGCCCAGAGGGTGGCGCAGAGCCTCGCCCTCACCAATTTGCAGGCAGCTTGCGCCTCACCCGGCGGCACAACCTCGGCCCAGTCCTTCCGCTCGGAGCAGATGAGCTCAGAAACCTCTGGGGGCGCAGCGTCGGCCTGCGCCCAGCTCCCGGCGGAGCCGTTATTTCCCACTCGACTCGGAGGGAGCCTTTGTCGGTCTCGTAATTCCTTTGTTTGAATTTGGTGGCAGAGTTCATCCGATCTCATAATCAGAGGCGGGATGCGTTCTCCTCTTTCCTTTTCCCGTTCTCTGAAAGAGTTTGCGTAAGACTGGAGTCATTTCTCTGAGAAATTCTGGAGTTCGTCACTGAGAACGTCTGTGTGGAGATCTGACAGGGTGGGTGTCAGTCCGGCCGGTGTGGCTCAGTGGTTGAGTGTCGACCCAGGAACCAAGAGGCCACAGGTTTGATCCCCAGTAGGGCAGCTGATACACGATTCTCTCTCATCATCGATGTTTCTATCTCTCACTCTATCTCTCACTCCCTCTCCCTCCTTCTCTCTCTCAAATCAATAAATAAAACATGTTTTAAAACAACGAATTCAATTCCTCTTAAGATGTTCAGATTTCCTTTTCCCCCGGCTTCAGGTTGGGTGAGCTATGGTTTCCTAGGGAGGTGCCCATTTCCTGGCAATTTTCAAATGCATTCACCTGACCCCTGCGTCATAGTCTCTCGTTCTCCTCCCCACGCAGGCGGGAGATTTCGGGGGAGCAGCCTCTGTCGTTACTGACACCGCGGACCCAGGCCCGCTCTCTCCCCCTCTCCGTCGGTCCTGTCAGAAGTTTCACCGTCTTTTCTTAGAATCCGCTTCTGTTTGGTTTTTTAAGGTGGTGACGCGTTGATGATGGTCATGGCCACGAGCAACAGGAAGTGTTGGGTAGTGGGCGGGTCACAGGGGGGCCTGACCGGGTCTGTTAGCGGGGGCCCAGGAGGACTCACTTTACACGGATTCCCTAACTTCTGCCTCTACATTCCAGGAGAGCTGTCACCCCTTAGAAAGTGTTGCTACCCCTTGACCAAGCCATCCCACTCTGGGGAAGTAGCCCGAGGATATAATTAGAGAGAGCCGCACAGATGCAGTGAAAGGATGTTCTTCTCAGTGTGGTTATCCATTCCAACTGGGGACGGACATGACCAGCACATGCGTGTGAGCCTGCCTGGGAAGGGCTGCAGGCTTGGCTCTCTCTAGGAGCCCCTTCGGACTTCTTGGGGTCTCCTCCTCTCATCCCTGCCTTCCTCTGAGCTGTCACAGGGGAGTCTGCCTCTTCTGGAGGCAAGACAGCCACGTGCAGCAATCCACGCGTGTGTGCAGACTCAGCGGCCCCGGTGGAAGGAGCACCTCCTTCCTGCATCAGTGTCTGATGTGGGACACATGTGCGTGTCTCAGTCACCCTGTTGTAGAGACCGGAGGAAAACCAGGCAATGCTGTAGAGAAATGGAGGTACACAGCGGACTCAGAGGAATTAGTTCCCAAGTCTGAGCAAAGAAACATGCAGGCAGCTTCTCCTTATATCTTTCTGGTGTCTTTGTCCCCCAGATATGGACTATGCTTCCGGTCCTTTGGCAGGCTTTGCAAAGAAGGCCCCAGGTGTTGGGGGTCTTGAGACCATATCTAATGGTCTGGCCTGGCACCAGCGCGAATAACGCCCCCCCCTCTGGGGCTGTGCACTGTTCATAGTTTATGGCCTCAGTATTTAGGTAACAGGTCTTGCAAGACCAGTTTCTGGGAAAGAGGCAGTGGCTTAATTATAGGTTATCAAGAATGTACACTGGACTTGATTCAGATTGCTTGCCCCCCCCCCCCCATCAAATATCAGGGTTACATTTGGAATTAGCCTTTTAGACTTCTCAACCAGGGCCAGGGTGAAGACATGATTTCTGTATGACTACTTGCCCCTCTAACCTAATAGGACCAATAATTCCCACGTCCCCTTCAGATTCTCCAAGTGTTAAAATGCTGCCATGTTTGCTTCGTCCTCTCCTCCCTCTCCCTCATTATACCATTCATTCTTGTACTTAATCTACACTATTCCTTTCCCTCTTCATTCTTTAATTTGCAGCTCTTTTTCAAATTCTAGAGATGGATACTTAGTACCTAATTGTCTTCCATTATTTTCTCTAATAGATGTATTTTAAGGCTATACATTTGTCCTTAATTACAGCTTTAGCTGCACCCCACTAGTCTCAATATGTCCAAGTGTTCATTATTGTTCAGTTTAAAATATTTTCTAGCTTCCTCTGTGACTTTCTCTTTGACTCGTGGGTTGTGTAGAAGCCCACCACCTTATTTCCAAACATTGGAGGATTTTCTCGTTCCCTTTCCTTCCAGAATTCTGTCTGGAAGAATTCTCTCTAGTGTCTCTAAATTCATACGCTGCGACCTGCGTGGCGGGTTTCAGGATGACCTGCAGGAGGGCCGACGCACAATGAAGAGACTACACGAGAAATATGAATTTTTAAGGCGCGGGAGGCCAGGTGGAGCCTCTTGCAAGAAGAGGAGCCCGCAAGTCCGGGTCCTGCCTGCTTTTATTCAGTTTGGTTACACACTTGCTCTTTAGCAACGCATGCAGGCAGAACAGAGAGAATGGAAGGTCAGCAAAGCTCGGTGAAGTTTACTAAACAATGTCAAGACAATCAGGTCAGGAAATCGCCCCGGGCCATCGCCGTTGCCATCACCGTCGCCAGAGCCGCAGGAGCGACCTATGCAGGTGTCAGCCCTGCTTTCATGCTAATGCTGCTGTGGTGGCCCCGCCTTCATATCTGCTGGGGACCAGTTCTTTCTGTTCCCTGTGTGTCCCAAACACCCCATCTGTATTGCGTCTCCAATGTTGAAGAATCTAGGGCATTGGGGTGCAGAGACGGGAAGTTGAGGGCAGAGGAGCCCTAGGGGTGGCCTGTGGAGTTTCTGGTTGAGTGTGGGCTGCACAGAGGACGTGTCCGCAGTCACAGTGGGCAGCTGGCCAGGAGCCAGGGTGACCCTCCCCGGGAAAGGCTGTGGTCAGGACCCGGCTGCAGGAAAGAGGCACACGTCTTGGGCTCAGGGTCTTGGGGTCCCAGAGCAGCAGGCCGGCTCTGCCTGGGCCTGGAGCTGCTGTCCTGCTGATGGCTGGACGGGGTGAGGAAGAGTGTGGTTGTGGCCCTGGCTGGCGTGGCTCAGTGGAAGAGCATCGGCCTGTGGACTGAAGGGTCCTGGGTTAGAGCCTGGTCAGGGCACCAGCTCAGATTGCAGGCTCAATCCCCAGTAGGCGGCATGCAGGAGGCAGTCGATCAATGATTCTCTCTCATCATTGATGTTTCTCTCTCTCTCTCTCTTTCCCTCTCCCTTCCTCTCTGAAATCAATAAAAATATATTTAATTTTTTTAAAAGCGTGTGATTGGTGGGCACTCAGGGCTGCCGTTCTCTGCCCAGGACCACTGCCTGTCCACGCTGGTGGAGGAGGTGCAGCGCCTCGCCAAGCTGAAGGGGGAGGTGCAGCGGAGGGACGAGGAGATCCTGGCCCTGCAGGAGGAGCGGGAGGCGCTGAAGAAGCAGCTGAAGTATCTCCTCAAGAGCAGAGGCCAGGAGCCGTCCGTGCACCAGGTGAGCGGGGCCGGGGGCCGTCCGTGCGCCAGGTGAGCGGGCCGGGGGCTGCCACAGCATCCAAACCTCCCGGGACCCTCAGGACCCTCGCCCCGCCCACCCCGCTTGTCCTGGACGGTGGGGGCACTCAGGCTGGGGCTCAGGATTTGAGCCAGAAGCTGAGGAGAGGCGATGGGAACACGATGCAGAGGAAGAGCCACGCGCTGCACAGGGCCCTGCGCTCGGCCGCCCGTCTCTCCCGGGACAGGCCGCGGCGCTCGCTGGACTCAGGCCCGTCCCTGTGGGGTGAGGGCCGGCTCCTCTCATCAGGAGGGAGGGCGCCCTGCAGGCGGGGTCCCCAGACTGGCCTGGCTGTGCCCTGAGGCCTCGTGACTGGGGTTACCCTGACCTGTCCTGACTGTGGGACGGGGAACACCAGTGTCCTGCCTGTCCAGTGGGCTTAGGGGTGCTGCCTCCCAGGTCGGGCGGAGGGCTGACCAGGGCAGGTCCAGGCAGGGCCGGGTAAGCAGCCCCCCCACTTTCTAAGACCTCATTTATCTCATGCCGAGGCTGCAGCCCCACTTGACGCCGGGGCACATGAGTGGGGAAGGGGGTGTTCAGACCATCGCCAAATCCCACGAATGGGCAGCTGGCGGGAGGGGGCGCAGGAGCCCGGGGAGGCCTGGCAGCGTGGCCCCGCCTCCCGGGGCCGGGAGGGGGTGCAAGTGGAGAGCTGCAGGGGAGGTGTCCAAGGCTGCGCCTCCATCCTCCAGCTGCTCCCGGGCAGCCACCTGCTGGCGCGGCCCCTCCTCCCGCCACGCAGGGGCTGCGGCCGCCTCCAGGAGGGCAGGTTGTGGGTGCATCACCTGGGAGCGGAGGGGCGTGTGCGGCCCTGAGGCCCGTGGCGTGTCCTGCAGGAGTGGCTCCCGGAGTCCGGCTCACGGCCCCTGGGCAGGCTCAGCATCCTGAAGGACTTCTGCAAGGAGGACGAGCTGCACAGCTGGCGGCAGGTGCGGGCGGCGCCAGGGGCGGGTGACCCCAGCCTCACCTCCAGAGTCGCGGGGTCCCACCTGCAGCCCCACCTGGTCCCCCCTCCCACCCCCCCAGTGCAGCCCTCAGTCACCCTGTAAGGGAGCAGGTGAGGGTGGCGGGCAGGTCCCACCTGGAAGAGCAACTCCAGCCCCCGCCCGGGGTGCGGGTCCCTTGCAGCAACCCCCCCCCCCAGGCGGGGAGGCCAGGGCCTCCCCCACGGCCCTGCCTAGTGGCCCCTCCATCCCCAGATGCAGGAGGAGTTCGTCCTGGCGGACAGGGCCGGGGGCGAGGAGGAAGAGGCGGGCCTGGAGGGGGAAGCCGAGAGGGACCAGGGCGCCGTGGGCAGGAAGGAGGCTGAGGGTGAGGAGGGAGAGGAGGAGCCGCAGGAGCTGGAGCTGGACGAGGAGCGGGAGGCGCAGCAGGACCAGGAGGGCGGCGGCCTGAAGAGGTTCAGCTGCGCGGACGACGCCTTCGAGGAGGAGCTGATAGCGCAGCTGGAGGAGTACGAGCAGGTGATCCAGGAGTTCCAGCTGGAGCTCGGGGTCGCCAGGACCAGATACAACCTGGCCACAGGTGGGCGTGCGGGCGCCAGGCCGGCCAGCCCCCAGGCCGAGGCGGGATGTCCTGCCCCCCCACCCCCCACCCACAGGCAGGACAGGCTCAGCTCCCACCCCCACCTGCAGGCAGGACGGGCTCAGCCCCCACCCCCACCTGCAGGCAGTCCCTGAGCCGGGAGCCCCGCGGGGAAGGGCGGGCGGGATGCCCGGATCAGGGGCAGGCCCCCCACTGGCTCCGTGACCCCGGCTCTCTGGCCCCCCCCTCCCCCCCCGCAGGAGCCTGCATCTCTCTGCAACGGCAAGTGGACCGCCTGGAGTCGCAGCTGCAGAAGGTCAACATGGAGCACGAGCTGCTGCAGAAGGAGCTGCGGGAGCGGAAGCATCAGCTGCAGGCCATGACCGACAAGGTGCGTCCTGTCCTCCGCCTGCCGCCCCGCACAGCCCGGGGGGCAGCAGCTCCCGGGGAGGCACTGAACTCAGGGGGCCGATGGGACTCTCCCGGGGCCCCAGGGCGGGTAGAGGCGGGTGGGGGGAGCGCCCAGCAGGCCCCTGCCTCCCCTGCCGCCCTCCGGCCCCAGCAGCCACCCTTCTCCTGGCCGCTGGGCCCCCAGCCGTTCCGCAAGCACCTGCAGGCCGAGTCCCGGGGAGCCCCGCCACGCTCAGCGAGGTCGCCTCCTTGCTCTGCGCTTTGAGTTGAGTTTTGTAGTTTTTCACCCGCGTCGCTTAGAGCACCCCAGTCCCCAATCTTCTGACGGAAGCAGGAGTGTCCCGGCCCCCCTCTCCCACTGCCGCCCCCCGAGGCGACCACCTTCACCTCCGGTTTCTTAGGGACCCTCCCCGCGTCCCAGGTGAGGTGGCAGCACAGCCAGGCCCAGTTCCCACCTCTCAGCATCACCCTGGCCTCCCGGCCTCCCGGCCCCTCCCGGTTCCATTCCATCAGTCAGAGTTGACTCGGTGCTGACACCTATGGGCAGTTACTGGTAGCGCAACGAAACGGAACCGCGTTTGCAAACCGGTATCATCATGATTCATAAAACGTGTTACTGCGGCTGCATCCACATTTCCCGCTCTTTTCTCTGGGGCACATCCTGCTGTCATTTTAAAAAATATATATTTTATCAATTTCAGAGAGGAAGGCAGAGGGAGGGAGAGATAGAAACATCCATGATGAGAGAGAATCATGGATCGGCTGCCTCCCGCACGCCCCACGCTGGGATCGAGCCCACAACCCCAGGCATGTGCCCTTGACCGGAATCAAACCCAGGGCCCTTCAGTCCGCAGGCCGACGCTTTATCCGCTGAGCCACACGGGCCAGGGCCCTGCAGTCCTTTGAGAAAAGATGGGGGTGCAGGGGATTGGAGAGGGGCCTGTCTGGAATCTCTTATTCTCCCATCAGCAGTTCCGTTGGCTCCAGGGCCCGGTTTGGGAAGGGCCTTCCCTGGGGCGGGTCAGATGCCCCTGGACACGGGCGGGAATTGGGGGCTTTCTTTCCTGGGATGGGAAGGCCTCGCGGGAGCCCCGTGGGGAAGAGGGTGCGGCTCCACCGTCAGCACCCACACCCCCATCTGGAGTCTGGGGTCTCTGCCCCTAACCGAGCCCCGCATCTCCCAGCCCAGACCCCCGCTGGACCCACACATCCGGGCTCCCGCCGGGTGGGGAAGGGGCGGACACCTGGCAGCTCACGGCTGGGGGTGTTTCTGAAACTTCCTCCCTCCAAGCTCCAAAGGAACCGGCTCCCCCACTTCCCGAGACTTTTAGGGGCTTGGGAGGGCGGGCGGGCTTGTGCTCGGCTCTCCCTGCCGTGGTCTTAGGGTTCTGTGTTTTGGGGTTCGCTTTCCAACACCCTCATGTTGTAGTGCTCTCCTCCTCCTCTTCCTCCTCCTCCTCCTCCTCCTCCTCCCCTTCCTCATCAGAAACACCCCGGCTCTCACCTTCCTGAGGCTCAGGGAGGGAGAAGCCAGAAGTGGGGTACCATCCACCATCTCCACCCGGAGCCCCCTGAGCCACCCCCTCTGCCTTGCAGTTCTCCAACCTCCGGGAAGAGAAGAAGCAGAAAGAGGTGATGGGGCTCATCGAGAAGGACAACCTCCTCCTGCGACAGGTGACGGCGGGGTGGGGAACCCCGCCTGGGGAGCTGGGGCCGCTCCTGTTAGGCAGCACCCCACTCGACACACTCAGGGCGCAGGGGCACGCAGAGGCCCCGCCCCATCCCTGGGTCCCGATTTGTCTGTGGGGGAGGCGGGGTGGGGACCTGTGGGCCTACTCCTCCGCCCCCTGCCCCGCCCCCAGCAAGTGTGGGAGCTGGAGCAGGAGCTCGCCACGCGGGAACACGCTATCACGGAGGCCGAGGCCAAGGCGGACCAGCTGCAGGCCCAGGTGAGCCAGTGCCAGAACCACCTGGAGCGGCGGAAGCAGCTGCAGGAGCAGGCGCAGGGCAAGATCGAGATGGCGCAGCAGGCGGAGCAGCAGGTCCGGGTGGCGCTGGAGAGCGCGCAGTCCAGGGTACGCCGCTCCCTCGCCCCCCGCCAGCAGCAGGGCCCCGAGCTCCAGGACCCCCGCCCACCTCGTCCACAGTGGGGACCCCAGGGGTTCTGATGTCCACAGTGAGAGGGTGGAGTTTGCAGGAGGGTCAGGGGTCAGGGAGTCTCCCGGGTCAGAAGGGAGCTCCTCTGGGGAAGGAGGTGGCCTGGGGTCCCTCTCAGTTTTATGATTTTTTATTGATTTATAAATATACCAGAGGCCTGGCGCACGAAATTTGTGCACTGGGGGGGTTGTCCCTCAGTCAGGGAGCCCTCGGGGGATGTCTGACTGACCGCTTAGGCCCATGCCCCGCCATCAGTCAGACATCCTTAGCGCTGCTGGGGCTTCTGGCTGAGCGGCGCTCCCCCTGTGGGAGCACACTGACCACCAGGGGGCAGCTCCTGCATTGAGCGCCTGCCCCCGGTGGTCAGTGTGCATCATAGCGACCGGTAGTTCTGCCATTCGGTCGATTTGCATATTAGCATTTTATTATTTATAAATATATAGTTGTATTGATTTCAGAGAGGAAGGGAGAGGGAGAGAGAGACAGAAACATCAACAATGAGAGATAATTATCGATCGGCTGCCTCCTGCACACCCCCCACTGGGGATGGAGCCTGCAACCAGGCATGTGCTCTGACCGGGAATCGAACCATGACCTCCTAGCTCATAGGTGGACACTCCACCACTGAGCCACGCCGGCCGGGCTGATTATATTTTTTTAATCATGTGCAGGTTTTACTTTTTTAATTAAAAAAGTTGGTGAGGCCCTGGCTGGTTTGGCTCAGTCGGCCTGCGAACTGAAAGGTCCTGGGTTTGATCCTGGTCAGGTCACAGGCCCAGGTTGCAGGCTCGATCCCCAGTGGGGGGCGTGCAGGAGGCAGCGATCCATGATTCTCTCTCATCATTGATGTTTCTCTCTCTCTCCCTTCCTCTCTGAAGTCAATAAAAAAATATGTTTTTAAAAAAAGGGTCCCTTTAAAAAAAAAAAGTTGGCGAGGCCCTGGCTGGTTGCTCAGTGGTTAGAGCGTCAGCCTGCACAGTCAAGGGCACGTACCTGGGTTTCAGGTTCAGTCCTCAGCCCTGCCTGGTCTGGGCACGTGCAGGAGGCACCAGATGGTATCTCTCTCACATCAATGTCTCTCTCCCCCCACTTCCACTCTCTCTAAAAATCAACGGGGAAAAAATATCCTCAGGTGAGGATTAACAAACAACAAGCTGGTGAGGTAGAGGGTCCTTGCGTGAGGCCACCCCAGGCCTGTCTAGCTCGCAGGTAGACGCTGTCCCTCCAGCCTCAGTTTACAGTTCCTGGGAAGGAGGGGGTCCCGCCTCTGTCCCCCCGACCCGGTGGTGGGTGGGCCCCTCCACCCGCCTAAGGCCAGCGGCTACTGTCCCTTCGCTCGCTCGCAGCTTGAAAGACTGCGAAACAAGATCATCCAGGCGGCCTTCAGCACCCCCGGGATCAGATCCTTTGCCAGCGAGATCTCTGACAACGACATTCTGGATGCCTTGCAGGTATGACAGCACCGGCTGCAGCCTGGGCTGGGGGAGAGGCCGGGACGGGCGCTGGGTGGCCCTGCTGGTCCCGCAGGGTCTCTGTTCTGGGACGGGGACTGTCCAGGCAGAAGGGACCA